ATTTTAGTGTATCAAACATTTATAATATAAATAGTAAAATCGGAAAATACTACTAAACTTATGTTCAAATATAACACCCGGAAAATTTTTTTTATAAATAACATAGAAACAAAACATTTTAATTGATAAAAATTTATAACATACTTAAAAATATAACAAAATGATCTTAACAGCAAAATGTTAAAAATAATTATTAATAAGAAATTTATTGAAAATATAATAATTATAAAAAAAAATCACAGCTAAGGTTGTGTGTTATATCCGATACAATATAAAACAAAACCTACGTTTTTTTATTTGTCAATGATTAAACCCTAAACCCGCACGATTGTACAAAACTGAGTTCAATATTTTCCATGGTTATAAACATTTTAATAATATCATTATATTTATTTATATTGTATGTCTTGATAATATAATGAAATTATCCTGGTTCTAAGATAAAACTTCTATAAGTTTAACTAAGAATATTAGGGTATATTTTGTAATATATATCTTAATACTATTTAATACTATCTTAATATATATGGTAATACTACAGAAACCAATTCCATTACTCTTAGAGCATAGCAATGAATACCATGAATATAATTATTATAAAATATATCTCTTGAGATTTATGTATAATTTGAAAAAATCAAATTTCAAATAAAAATTTATTTGTTATTTATAATTTCAGCCTTTTTATCAATTAAAAATAATTAAAAAAGTTAACTAAAACTACTGAAAAAAAAATATGTTATAAACCATTAGTGTGTATTCAAGATATTCTAAATAAAATGCTAGATATTAATCAATACAAGTATCTATATAAAAACAATTCGAATAATATATATTCCGTTAAAAATGGAGTATCTTATAATACTCGGCACTAAATATTATTGGTTTATTAAATCACCAGAAAGCAACCCATAATAAGAGTGCAGAAGACATAAGACAGGTGCCAAGAAAATACTTTTTTAAAAACAAGAGATTTCAATGCAATAAAACGTAAAGCAAATTATATATTTAAGTTATCTTAAGTCTTTAAACTAAAACAAATTATTATTAATGACGTTATTATATATTATTAATAAAATATATAATTATAAATTAATAAAAATATATTTTTAAAAAAATATGAAATTGAATTTGAATTCTTATTTTAAATTTTAGATCTCTTAAACAGAGCATCAACACATCTACTACATTAGCTCCAGCAACATCATCCGTAAGTGTAGGCAATATTAGTAATTCTTTACGTTCCAATAACAGCAGCAACACGGCAAAACATGAACAAACAACCGTGGCAGCAACTGTTGCTGCTGCCACTACCACACCACCGGAAAAAGAGAAAAAAAGAAAGGAAGTTTCGAGTTCCAGAGTGAAAAAATTTCATCGCCATTTCACTCAAGTTCCAAAGGATGAAAAACTTATTAATTGTAAGTATAACAACATAATAATATAAATATAAAAATTGAATGATATATATAAAAAAGTATACAGAAGATAGAATTGATTGGTTGCAAGATCAAATAATTCATAAAGTTGTGTTAATTTTCAATATAAACCGAGATATACATTTATAACGTAGTGTTAGCAAATTCAAACTATATAGCCTAAAAATTCCAATGCGTTGTTAGAGTCTAGAAGTAGTGACAAAGGATATCTAATAGGAATAAACGTATAGTTTTTAATAGGGTGTCGTTGTTTCAAGCGATTATCCGATATTTTCTCAATATGTGATTTCTCAGTTCTGAAGTTTGGGGAAGCAGCTAGCGTATCCCAAAATCTTATTTTGGACTCTTAGTAAGCAGTATCTCCTGCAAGATCGGCTGCCACTGATATCAGTACTATATAAAGCCAGAAAAAAAGTAAAAGAAATGTACAAAAATACATTTTTTTGAGAAATGGGCGTCACATACCGCGGACCACAAAGAAATTTCCCCGATTCGGCAGGTAATATGGAGGGTAGGCAGAAAAATAAACATCGTTATAGTACAGCGGTTAGCAGCGATGAAATAAAACCATGGTGTTTTTGTTGATGATTACAATGAAGACAATGATGACTTAATACAGCGAATCTATAACTCAAGGATAAGTTAATTTCAGAATAATCGAGCTGTCGCATATTAACTTATTTACTGTAGTTGTATGTAGTGTGACTAACACATGTGCTCAATTTTATCTTAATTTTAAAATAAAGAGGGAGTCTGGTTTTGAACACCGAACAAGTCGGTTGTCTAATTTAACTCGGCATGTGACAATATTTGTAATACATATAGTTTTCAAATCGAATAATATATACTATAAACTATTAACTATTTATTTTAAATTAAAAGATTTAAATAATTTTTTTAACATGCTATTAACAATTATTGAAATCTTTCTCTTAACAAATGTTACGGTATTTTTGGTTTCTTAGGACAAAAACTTAATTTGTTAATTTATAAATTTTTAAAATGTAAAAGTATTTATAAAAATTAATGATTAAAAAAGAATTATTGTGTATACTTAATATATATATATATATATATACGTATATGTATATATTTACATATATATATATATATATGTTCTGATAAAATGATTTAATCAAAAATATTTGTCTTGATAGATTTTTCATGTGCCCTAGTCAGTGATATTTTACTGCAAGGACATCTTTATATAACAGAACAGCATTTTGCATTTTATTCAAATGTTTTCGGTTATGTTACTAAGGTAAGATTTTTTCTGAAGTATTTCTTTAAACTATTATTTAAACACACCGTTCCTCATGTACAGGTTGTCATACCTACTTCATCAGTTACAAAAATCTCTAAAGAAAAAACAGCCAAAATTATACCAAATGCCGTCGGTGTAGCAACAGCCGACGAAAGACATGTTTTTGCTAGTTTTATAAGTCGAGAATCCGCTTTTCGACTTATGTGTAGTGTATGTCCACCAATGGCACCTGCAGAAGTAATAACAAAAACACCTGCAGACATAGAAATCTCTGAAGAATACTCAATTGAAGATGATAGCAGTTGCTCAGTCAGCGGCAATGAGAGTCCACCGCGCGGATTGGCTGACAATGAAGCTGCTAGTAACGCAGCTGAAGAAGATGCTAGTCAAAAACTTTTAAGACGTACTGCGGGCAGTTCAAGTTTTACAGCAGGTGATAGTAGTCATACGACAAAGGGGAAGGGACGAGGTTCAGGTAGATTTATTTTGTTGATTTAATTTACATTTTAAATTAAATAATAAATTTTTTAATACAATTAGACATTCCACAAATCAACGGATTGGGTCATGGAAATGTTGGTGTACGCGCTTCTGCACCACCTACCGCTCCTATACATACATCATCCGCTTCCACATCCACCACCGGTGTAGCCGCTAGTGCAGCTACAAATTTAACTATGATTATTGCTGGTACAGCTTCTTCAACTGCATCCACATCTACATCATCAACACCAACACCTTCAACCTCATCATCGCCCACCACTGTTATGGCTAAACCAAAGACAACGGTGCAGTTCGCTACTGAAAACTTTAAGTTATTAAGTAAAAAATTATTAATAAATATTAAGATGCCAACAGAACAACAACTCGTATATTTGGGTGTTTTCCTCGCGTTGATTCTTTCGCTATTCTCAATCTTCCTATTATATAGAATTTTAAATATTGAGGCCAAAACAAGTTTATACAATTCGCCAACCTCATTTAAATGGGTTAGTTTTTTTATTATATTTTTTATTTATGTAATTTTAATTATTAAATTACTTTAATACAGCGTACCGGTAATGATGATGATATTTTCACTGAGGCTCTACGTTGGCAACAAGAACTTCAACACAAAAGCTCTGAAGAAGCTCAGCTTATATTAAAGAATAATTTAGAACAAATTTCTAAGGTGAGTTTTAAATTTTATAAATAAGTTTTTTATGAGAATATTATCAAATATAGTTGTTGTTAATGTATGAATTCTGTATTATATTAAATTTATTTTTTGATGGGTAAAGTATTTCGAATCCAAATACTGCTTTAAATTACAATTTATCAGTATCAAATTGTGGTATTTTCCCATAATGTATTTCATTTTTTCGGTTCAGATGCGACGGGTATCCAATCGCTGACACAAATTTTGTTAAATTCAGCTACTACAACATCGTTTTTTCAGCCTGCCTGTCGGTACAAAATTGTCTAGTGATCTGGAAATCCTGAACTTTGTCTTTTATTATATTTTGTCCCTCTATTATGAGGGACAGAATTAGAAAGGACCCAGTCGCATTAGGTCATATACTTTATGAAGTACTCTATGTGGTAAAAGTTGCTTTATTTACATTTGATTTACTCTCAGAAACATATAGGTATATATGTTTAACATTTACGTAAACATTATATATATCATTATTATATGTGTATATAAATATGTATATCTTTTAGAAAATCTGTTAAATATTCATCAAGAACGGTGTAATAATTATTTTATCAGTATTCTATATTTCTGTGTGTGGTTAGGATTAGAGTATGCCTAGATAATGTAAACTTTGGCAACAGGTGTTCACTGATATGCACCGTCATGTGAAATTTATGACTCTCATACCATTTGATTATATTTGGTAAATAAACAATTTACCACAGGTTGCAATAACCTTTATCTAAAAAAAGCAGAAAAGTAAACTCTCTTATCAGTTCTTGAAAAGTATAAATGGGATTATTTGTTTGATATTAAAATTCTAAAAAAAATATTTGTTTTTGTTTTGCTATTTCAAATAATTAAGTTTATATTGATATTCTTGGAAATCATAAAATTTTGAAAGTACTGGATTAGAAAATTTAATAAAGTTTTAATTGTAAATTAATTTTACAAGTTTTAATTTACAATTAATTTTACAAGTTTAATTTGAACCTTTTAAATTACCATATTTCTTTATATTTTAATTTGAAAACATTGATAACTAATACTTATGATATTATATTCGAGTTGATATTGACTTTGACTGATTTCTAGAACGTTTACTTTTCACTACAGTTCTTCATACGTTATATATTTTTGATTTAGATGCATTAGGACAATTAGTTAATTCCATTTAGGGTCCGCTGTTGTAAGGTTTTTGTTTTTTACAGCTCTTTTATCCACGTTTTATGGTGTGATGATTTATTACATATTAGATATTCTTTTGACCAGTTACTCAATTTTTTCATTTTCATCGATATTCTGCTGTCTCGGGGTCTAGATGAAAGAAATCTTATGTCGTTCACTCATAGTAATTAAACAGCTTTCGCTTAGTTTCACTAGATAAGAGATTGTGTTTGGGATTTAAAATGCAGCTTATCCATTTTTGTATCCGTTTACTATCCCACATATCTCCATATGAGCGAACAGTCATCCCTGTGAACTTTTTTCGAAATGATTTATACAGGCCTGCATAGAATATTACCAAATTACTTATATTTGCTGGTTAATATTTTTTATTAATTAGTAGTAATCTACCTCTGCGCAGTGGCGTAACTACATTTTTTAGGCCTGTAAGCAAATTCTAACTAAGGGGCCCCTACCAACATACTAAAGGGCCCCTCTTTTTATACTCTTTACACGAAAAAATGTGAAAAGGATATATAAGGTTTGTCAAGATTTTCGTAACGCATTAAAGGAAACGTCGGAAATACCATTAAGTATATATCAGTACAATATATATATACTTTTTCAGTTCAAACTACTCTCTCAGCTTTTGAACTCTTCGAATGAAACTTTACACACATACTTTTCGGGAGCCGACCCTTTTCACCATTTGATTTGATTGAAATTGGACGTCTATTTCTTGTAGCTGTGATATAAACTTAACAATCGGAAATGAGGTTTCTCCGTTTTTAATAAAGGTATTCAAATGGAATTTGATGTATACAGTACTGATATTTGCAAAAGACAACGTACAAAATTATTTTCAAATGGATTTAAATCTAGATATAGCTTCCATATAAGTCTCTCGATTAAGACACATATTTTTTTTAGAAAAACTTTTTTATTTTATAAATAGTTTAAATTTATTGAAGTACAACATATTATGTACTTTAAATTTAAAATTTACGTATCTTTTATAAAATGCAATATGAAGTTATTCCAACAAAAAACGTTTCGTCCCACTTTTGAGAATTTATTAAAAATAAATACAATGAATACAAAAATTTATAGTGGGGCCCCCTAAATTCGGGGGCCCGAAAGCGTTGCTTCCAGTTGCTTCCCTGTAGTTACGCCACTGCCTCTGCGTCTTAATTTGGTGATAAACATTGTGTTTTTTGCCGGAAAATTTGAAAGATATTTCGGTTAACTAAATATTGCACGCATTGAACGCCACTTAAATTTATATATCAGTTTTCACTGCTATGTAAAAAGGGAGCTTTAGCATTGATATGTGTATTATTTTCTTGATAAGAGTGAGATATTAATAAATCTCAATATTTTGTTGAGCATTCCAAAGGCTTGCTTTACTTTTTTCAATATATTTTCGCATTATATCTTATTTCGTTTCGTTTAAATTTAAATATTCAAAATAAAACCAGTGCTTTATTTATTATCTTTTTGTGAATGAAAATCACTCGATAATCGCATATACACTTCTATTGAAGTACTGAGATTTGAAAGTCCAAAAACTATTGACAAGAAATGTTGCAGAAAAAATTTCAAAGAATTTTATCAGTTGCATAAAATTACTGCAGTACATATTGATAAAATCAATCTTTGTTTTTTCAAGAGAGATTATTTTTTATATTCGTTTATAAAAAATAAAATAATATAAAAACAATTTTGAAATTTAGCTGAAAAAATCTTATCTATAGTTTTTTTAAATAAATAATTGCTTTCTATTATGTTCTTACATTGGTTGTCAGTTAGTGAAGTATATAATAGAATTTTACGTATTCTCAAAACATTATTGAACATTTTTTAATCATATCAATGATTAAATGAAGTTTGTTGCGTTTCTTTTTTTCATTTCTAGAACCAAAAGATATCATTTAAAATATTGTAACAGGGTAACAAACTATCTGCATATCTAAAACTGCTAGGGTTTTTACTTTAAACAAAAAAAACCGTAAATCTATATATCTCTTATACGAAATAGACTATTCTGATAGTATATAATAATATTAAAAATAAGTTGGATATTAATAAATATTTTTTGAGGTTTAATTATATCATATTTGTTTGCATTTTTTTTTATGTTGGTGTTGTTGTGGTAACCCAATGGGACCTACTTGTAAAATGCCTTTGGGGGGTGTTGAACGGCACTTGTACGTCGACATTGACGAGTGGATCCGGTACATATACCCGGGGGTTCTTGGAAGCTTTTTTTATAGTCCATATCAATGTTTCTGATATTATATAAGTTGTTTTGTTTTTTCCAGAACTACTCTATTAATGACACACTATATGTCTAATAAAGTGATTCGTCGTTTTGTTATTTTTAATTTACAAGCTTAATCCCTCGTTGAAAAAAATTTTTTTTTTATTTCATGCAATTGGGTCAGACATAGATCAGAAGCATTCCTAGCAGAGAAACAAATATTGATTTCAATAAAAGATACCCAATAATATTTTCAAAATATTGTTATTTCCCAAGATGTGCCGAATAAAAATTGAAAACAGATACTGATCTCATAAAAAGATGTCTAAAAATATTTTCAAAAGATTTGCAAAACAAAAACTAAAAACTACGATGGGTAGCAAAAAATCCAAATTAACCTAGCTAAGCTATATTAAATAATGGCAAAAAATTTTATATCGGACATGTACACTATACACGGAAGTAAATGCCCAGACTTAAAAAGATTAAGGCATTCCGCTATGGAAGTCTGCAAACTAATGGCTTGGCGAGCATCCAAAACAAAGACTTTAAATGTATAATTTCCCTTATTGGCCGCACAAGTTGGATTTAAGATATTAAATTTTCACCTCTAGGTGTGTAGCAAGAAAACGACGCATATGCGTTACTTAGTTTGAATGCAAATCGCCATCGTCATTTTAACTACATTTTTTCAGTATGAAATTGATATCAAACGAGATATTGATATATTAATCAAATAAAATAAGTTAAAATTTTAATCTGTCTTGTGATATATGCATTGGACTGCACCTATTTTCATAGGTTTATATAGTTCATAGGTGTTTATATTGTATGAGCACTACCTATTTAGAAGACTACACTCTAAATATAATTTAATGTTCAAAAGAAGCGTTTTGGAAAATTTTCCTTTCTTTTAAAAATTATTACCTTAACAGAATATATTATTTCCGACAATTCTGTAACTTCTTCAACTTTTCCATTTATGGGGGTTATCAGCATTTTATTTGAAGAGAGTTTTTGCCTTTCGTATTAAACTTTAATATTTTTAAATAAAAAATTACTCTATAGGTGGGTCAGTAATATTAAAAGTATAGTATCATATTTGTTTTTTTTTTTTTTATAGTCTTTAGTATAAACAAATAGACATTCCAAGTAAAATACGGTTAATAAACTTCAAGTAAATATATATTATATTTTATAATTTTCTCAAGTAAATATATATTTTATACTTCTCTAAAGTAAATATATATTTTATAATTTTCTATTGCAATAATAAGAAATTGAAAAAATACAGCACAATCTGTATAACTAATAGGCTTATTTACCTCATATATCATATCTAGTTTATTTTCTAATAGTAATTTTTTTATTAATAAATCAACCAGACATCAACGTTGCTTCTGGACCCTATTACCCTACTACCAACTACTGTGATGTAAACACAAAGTTCTTTCCACTGAATTAGTCATATTGGACATTTTAATCTATACACTTCTAAAGTAGCTAAGTAGTTATTAATATATTTATAATACCGTACGCGTGTTTTATGATTCATAAATGCTTTGGGTAACCCTCTAACAACTTCATATGA